GATATATTGTATATAACTATAACTGGATGCTCTAAATTCTTGTTTCTCAGCCAGTAGTATGCATTCCCCAACAGTTATGCACACCATAGGCATGGCTACATTGACCCCCAGGAGGTGGCCAGCTGTGTGCTAAGGCAGAGTAGGCACCTGCTTATCCAAACAGTTCCAAGTCTGGCCAAATGCAGTGTCCTTGGGGAAAATGGAGGTGGAGAGGGTGAGGGAGACATCTTGATCTTCCAGGACTGCCCTTTGCGCGCCCTGCGGTGATGCCAGGAGCTGGGTTATGACATCATTCCAGCGCCTATATCACTAAACAGCTTGCGAGGCAGTAAAGCTGGAGGAGCTAAGAGAAAAGATCCACTCCAGCTCTCCAAAAGGTTGGTAGCTTGCATAGATATATAAAATTAATCATTTGTGAGTGTGTCTCTCAGTGAATGTGTGAGTGTGTCTGTGAGTGTGTGTCAAATCAGTGAGTGTGTGAGTCTGTCAGTGAGCATGTGTCAGTGAGTGTGTCACTGGATGTCAAATTAGTGAGTGTGTCTGTCAGTGTGTGTCAAATCATTGAGAGTGTCCGTCAGTGAATGTGTGTGTGTCAGTGTCCACTAAGTGTAACTGTGTGTGTCTGTCAGTGTATGTCAAATCAGTGGATGTGTGTGTGTGTGTCTGTCAGTGAGTGTGTCCCCTCTGTGTTTGTGTCAGTTTCCTCTGTGTGTAAATGTGTGTATGTAACAGTTTTGGGTGAATGGGCTTGGTATGCAGAGAAAGGACAAAGCAAAGTCACTTAACGGAAAGTCTCCTAAAAACAAGTCATTGTGAGTTGGGAAGTCCAGGGACAAGGCCATGTAGTGCAGGTCCAGGACCAGGAAGCAAAATTAAAGTCTTTTAACAGGATAGTCCAAGCAGGACCAGCACACAGATAGTCTTTAGCAGGTTCAAGTAGACAAAGGTCAACTCAGGAATCCTAGATAGGATCAGACAAGCAAAGGTCAACCAAACAATCCAGGACAAAATCAGGCATGCAAGGGTTAACCAAGGCAGGATTCGGCAGGCAAAAGATTAACCAGGCAAGCAAGGGTTAATTCAGGAATCCAGGGAAAGGAGACTTGTAACCTGTAGAAGTTCACAAGTCAACTGAGCCAAGAACCCAGGGTGGTTTGGGTTTAAATAGGGGAGAGGAAATGGAAGCCTATTAGCATATTTACAAAGATATCCCCATTTGGTGAGTAGGCGTCCACACCCCTTTGTGAGCAGGATGCTCTGTCAGTTTGCCCAATCATAGAGTCCAATCATAGAGTTGTTCTCCACACTGCTCTCAGATATACTGGGATGGATCCACCAGGGCTCTGACAGCCTGAGGAAATCTTGGAGCAGTTTAGGGGTCACAAAACAAGAAACTGTGCAGAATGCACTTTGGGGGGAGGCAGGTCAAAGGACAGGCAAGGTGCGCTTCCCTTCTCCTGAACACTGTAAACCATGTGGAGCAGCTGCAGAGGCCGGTATGTGAGGAATGAGTGGCACGCCATGCCCCTGCAGCAGGTTGTGGAAGAACAGTGATTTTTGCCAGCTGCCTGGGAAAAGGTTCATGTCCCTCACTCCCGGAACGACAAGAATCACCTGGCGACCGGTGAGTGAATGCAGTGCGCATGCCTCTCCTGGCGTGCCATGACAGTGTGTCAGTTTCTTCTGTGTGTAAATGTTTATGTATGTCCTTGTTCTCTGTGTGTCAGTGTACTCTGTGTGTCCATGTCCTCTGTGTGTAAATGTGTGTGTGCCAGTGTCCTTGTTTGTAACTATTCTGGGTGTATTACATAAAAAAAAGTTTAACTTTTATACTTCAGATTAATAGTTCAAACATTCATCCTTACAGACACAATATTCACATTATGTCATATTTATTTAAAAAAATATTCATAACTATCTTTAATCAGGCTTGTTCTCCAATATGGCATTAACTTAAAGGAACACTATAGGGTCAAGAACACAAATGTGTGTTCCTGACCCTATAGTGTTAAAACCACCATTAAGGTGGCTTGCCTCTCCCCCCTCCCCCTTAACCCACTTAAAAGCTAATAAAACTAACCTTGCTGACATCATCTAGGTCCACCCCCTTGCTGACATCATCATAATGTATGGGGGTGGGACTAACACTGCCTTTTCTCTTAAAAGGAAGTGTTTGCATAAAAATGCCTGGAAGTAATGATTATACTTACCAGAACAACCACATTACGCTGTAGTTATTCTGGTGACTATAGTGTCCCTTTAAATATCAGTGTGTAGATGTTTCATTTAAAATTTTAATCAATGGAAATCACTTTCTCTAGGCAGGGATACTTGGGATTTTTTTTTAACACTGTTCTAAATGACTGTTAAATAGTGTTATAATTGGTCATCAACTCTGTATTTCTTGAAACAGTCATTTTAAACACATATGATCACATTTCTCACAGTGTCTTTCCTTCAAAAATTGCTGGACATAAAAGCTATCAAATCCGATCTCTCTACTTTCCAGTGTCCATTGGTTCCTCCAGTATTTTTTAACATGTTTACTGTATGTTGACAAGAAAAATACAGTAAAACTCTGTTTTGCTTTGTTTGGTTGGTTTTAAGGTATTATTCTCTTTTTTTGCTGTACTTTAGCCATGTTTAAATTATGAAAGGCTGACCAGTGAAAATATGTCCCTTTTTATGCATCCAAAACTAAATGATTGATTACATATATGAACAGAGGCCCTAAACAATCCTTCTGTGGCCATTAAAATGGTATACAATGTGTGGGTGAACTATAAAGTAGAGAAATATTATAACTGTGCAAATATGAAACATGAAAAATATCCTTTTCCAGAATAGTAGAAAATACCTTGAAATTAAAAAGTAAGAGATTAGCTAGATCTAATATATTTTAACTCTTGTTTTCTGTATATTTTTTCTCTGGAAGAAATAAATGCAGACATTTTCTGGCATGGGTGGAAGTATTACCACTAGAGGTCTAGTGAATGCTGCCTCAGACATTACATTTTCTGTCATCATATCCTATCTCACAGGGATGTTAGTGATATGTCATATCCCAACACTCTGCACCAGTAGGCAGTATGTAGAACCATCAAAAAAAAAAAAGATCAAATCGTTTCTCCCTTTTTCTGCATTAAGCAGTAAGCTTATTACAGGGTATTCTCTGGTCTTCCCAAAATGAAGATAGCCCCACAGACCAAGTTTATCCAACAAGACCACTCAAATAAATAATATAATAATTGTATAGCTCCTCTATTATTTACAATAGCAATACAGTGTGATAGGTTTAGAAAGAAAAGACATTCAAAGGCTGAAATGCAGATATTTTTTTTTTCTATAAATTTGATATTTATTAAAATGTATAATTTCATTCAAATTGATTCCACATGGTAAAAAATGCAAACTAAGCTGCTAAATATTCTGGTAAAATGTAAATATAAACACAGGAAATGTTAAGACATATTTTGCCAAGAAATCTCACACAGAGTATAACATAAATGATTTAATTTCCTACATATATGGGCCCAGAAGACTGGGCATCTCCTGGCCCTTAGCGGGTACAATAAACCTATTATAAAATGGAAGCGAGACTTGGCATCTCAAGGCCCTCTTGGGCTATATTAATTAAAAGGGACACTATAGTTACAAAACAACTTTAGCTTAATCAAGCTGTTTTGGTGTATAGATCATGCCATGGCAGTCTCGCTGCTCAATTCTCTGCCATTTAGGCTTTGGTTATGCAGCACTATGGAACACCTCCCTGCATGTGACTTACACAGACTTCCTAAACACTTCCTGTATAGAGTCATTTAACATTCACACTTCCTTTATTGTAAATTCTGTTTTATTTAACATTTCCTATATCCTGCTCTGCTAATACCTTAATACACCCTGCAGGAACCTATTGTGTGTGATTAAAGCTCAATTTACAAAGCAAGAGTTAAAAATAAAGTAAGATATATCTGATTGAAAATGAAACCATTTTGTTTTCATGCAGGCTGTGTCAGTCACAGCCAGGGGAGGTGTGACCAGGGCTGCATAAACAGAAACTAAAGTTATTTAACACCTAAAAGTGTATTGAGCTGTGAAACTTCTGAGGCGTGATCTATACACAAAGGAACACTACAGGGTCAATTAATTAAACTAAAGTTATTTTGGTGACTATGGTATCCCTTTAAGTGCCTCAGTAGACTGGGCATCTACTAACCTCTATCAAGCATCTTCTGTGCCTTATCTTATTACCCTTTACCCCACTGTCAAAGGGTGAAGGATGGAGTAGGGGACACTGGTTGGCCTTATAAGGGCTTTTACACTCAATGCAATCTGAGTCAGAGAGCTCAGATTGGTTGGTTCTAAGACCACTCTGACATGCACTCTGATAAGCGCTGCAGAATCTGTTGGCGCTATAAAAATGGCAATAATAATAATAATAATCAGCTTCTAATAAGTCTTTCAGAGTGGGATTTAAATCAATCCAAACTGATAAAAAGGCTTTTTAACAGCAATAAACTGCAGCTATTACTTATTATTTTGAAGCCGATCAATGCCAAAGTTGGAAAGGGGCAATAAATTGACTAATTTTGGCATCCAGACTTACTCTTCACCCTTCTCCTGTGATTAATAACATTTTCTGGAAAACATTCAAACTATCTGAGTAGTAGGCTCACTCCTTCTGCTTCCACTCTCTCTGTCCTCTGTTCCACTTTTTGCTCCATAGTTTTTATTTACGATCTCAAAAAGGAGGTTGGTTGAGAAAGTTTCTTCTATGCTGCCTCAATATCAAATCTGCCACCAGTCTGGAGTCTCTGTAAACATCTTCATCCATCTCCCTCCAAAAAGCAACTGCACGCATTGTTATTTTATTGTATTGTATTTTTTATTGTAACAATGTATTTATTATTGTATTTTAGGTTTCCTTCTATAAGTGTACTATTGTATTTGTATGTGAGCCCCATGACATACTTTGAAATGAGAAAAACATTGTTAAATACCTTGATATTAGAAGTTTGCCCTTTACGTTTAAATCTGCAGCGCAATCATCAGACCGACAATTCCTCTCAAAGAATGTCTGAAAACAGAGAAAATAGAAACTTTATTAAACTTTTAATAATAATAATAATAAAAAGAATTGACAAATTAAAAACTGCTTAAAAATATTGTGTGACAATCAAAGACAAAACTGTTATTACTGGCATGGATGCATTCACCTGTAACCTAAACTCCTGTTTGTTCAGCAAAACAGCCAGCAAGTCTTCCTAGCAGTAAGATCTACTAAGCACCAGTAAATAATAAAAAAAAAAGTTTAAATAACAATGTTTATATTAAACATCTGTACTGTTTATTATTCAAATATACTCTGAATGATAAAAAAAGAAGGTTGTAGTGCATGGGAGCAGAAAAAGGATGGAAAAAGTGGTATGCACATCAATGTTTTCCTAAGATACCAAAAACTTAAAGAATACTTAAAGGGGAACGTGAGCATTATAAGCGTTCGGAAACAATATGATTCCTAACAGTAGAATGGAGGGACAGGAGGTTGGGAGGCACAGGGATGCAGCATGATGTAGTGGTAATAGTGTTTAAAAATGTCTGTTTAACCCCTTAAGGACGGAGCCAAATGTACACAGTGTGAACGAAACAAAATGTAAACAAAACCTGGCATTTGCGCTACATGTCTGTCCAACCGTAATACACCTCTTTCATAGTAAATGCACCCACCCTTATTATATATAATTTTATTCAGGGGAAACAGGGCTTTCATTTAATATCAAATATTTAGCTATGAGACATAATTTAATATGAAAAAAATGGGAGAAAATAAGATTTTTTTTGATTTTTTTAGTTCTACATGACATTTTAACGGTCAGTGTCATAATACTGTTTGCTTTTACTGCAATAAAATACACATATTTGTATTCAGCAAAGTCTCACGTGTAAAACAGTACCCCCTATGTACAGGTTTTATGGCGCTTTGGGAAGTTACAGGGTCAAATATAGCACGTTACATTTGAAATTCAAATTCGCCAGATAGGAATGAAATTTACACCCATAATGGCATACCATTTGCAATAGTAGACAACCCAAGGTATTGCAAATGGGGTATGTCCAGTCTTTTTTAGTAGCCATTTGGTCACAAACACTGGCCAAAGTTAGCGTTAGTATCTGTTTGTGTGAAAAATGCAAAAAAACGCCAATTTTGGCCAGTGTTTGTGACTAAGTGGCTACTAAAAAAGACTGGACATACCCTGTTTGCAATACCTTGGGTTGTCTACTATTGCAAATGGTATGCCATCATAGGGGTAATTTTCATTCTTGGGCTACCATAGGGTCTCAAAGGCAACGTAACCAATCTGGCTAATTTTAATGTGAAAAAAATGAAACGCAAGCCTTATATTTGACGCTGTAACTTTTGAAAACACCATAAAACCTGTACATGAGGGGTACTGTTGTACTCGGGAGACTTCGCTGAACACAAATATTTGTGTTTCAAAACAGTAAAAAGTATTGCAGCAATAATATCATCCGTGTAAGTGCTGTTTGTGCGTGAAAAATGCAAAAAACTTCACTTTTACTGGCGATATCATTGTTGTAATACATTTTACTGTTTTGAAACACTAATATTTGTGTTCAGCGAAGTCTCCCGAGTAAAACAGTACCCCCAATTTACAGGTTTTATGGTGTCTTGGAAAGTTATAGGGTTAAATATAGTGCTAGCAAATTAAATTCCCTATACTTTCGGCATGGGTTGTCAGGCAGGTCCCGCTAATTGTAATTAATTAGGATACCTAATTATGTAAAAATATTACATAAATATATGTGTAGAATTAATATATGTATATATATACATATGTATATATACATATATATATATAATTTTTTAAAATATTTTTATTTATATATAGGTGTATATATTTAGTGATATATATGTATATATTTATGTATATAGATATATATATTATTTCGTTCTACGTGTATTTTGATATAAATATATATATATTAATATCACAATACAGTTAGAACGAAATAACAAACATCTATATATTTTTTTATTATTTATTTTTAATTATTTTTTTTATTTTTTTTTTTTTACGTATTTAAATTTTTTTCTATTATATATAAATATATATATATATAACAATAATTATATATATATATATTTAATCAGTATTAGTCTACGTGTAATTTGATAGTAATATATATATAAATAATTATATATATTAATATTTAAATACACTTCGTGTATGTGTAAATGTGTGTGTATGTGTGTATATATATATACTTAGATCATATATATATATAATATATATGATCTAAGTATATTTTATATTTAACTGTAATTTTTTTTTTTTTTTACTAATATTTTATTTATTTTTACAGGACAGGGGGCAGAGACAGTGTCAGCCAGTGATTTTACATCACTGGCTGACACACAGGATCAGTGATCACAGTGACTGCCTGTCACTGTGATCACCTCCTGCAGATTGGGTAATTGGCCACAGGGGGGAGTGCCTGGGTGGTACAAGCACTCCCCCCTTCCAATCTGCAGGGGGGATCTTTGTGCCTGTTACATGTGTCAGCCAATAGGCTGACACATGTAACACTGATCGCAGTGACAGGCTGTCACTGCGATCAGAGCGCTCTGAGATCGCAGTGACAGCCTGTCACTGCGATCTCAGAAGGTGCAGATCGCGGTCACTGACCCCAGGGGGACTGCCTGGGGGGCCAGGTAAGTCCCCCGACCGCGATCTGCATTGCAGAAAGCCGCTGGCCACGTGTGTCAGCCGATTTGAAATCGGCTGACACACGTTAAAAACTGATCGCAGTGACAGCCTGTCACTGCGATCAGTGACTGCAGATCGCGGTCACCGGCCACAGTGGGGGTTGCCTGGGGGGCCGGGCATCCCCCCCGACCGCGATCTGTAGCGGGCGAATAGCGCCGGCCACGTGGGCGGCCATTAAAGTGAGGGCGTACTATTACGCCCGCCGGCGTTTAGAGCCGGCTCCTGCAGGGCGTAATAGTACGCCCTCCGGATTTAAGGGGTTAAAATAATTATCTTACACTATGAAATAAAATCAGGTATAAATTGTATAATTCTTTTACCACTCTGTTTATCAGAAATTGTTGGATGCGAGTAATCTGGGGTGTGTTGTATCTTTTAGCAGTAGCCATCTTGGAGAAGAAGAAAGCAGTCTTTATATAAGTACCTATTCATTGTCAGCACTATATTCCAACCAAATATAGGTGGGAGGGCCTGGGTGGGAGGGTCTGCTGCTGATTGGCTGGAATGTGTCTGCTGACTGTGAGGTACAGGGTCAAAGTTTACTCAATGATGAGTCTGCGGCGAACCGTTCGTGGCGAACCATTCACGAACAGTTCGGACTTCACTAATTACTGGCATAACGGATTGTGACAAACAGACATCCACTCAATGTTTGATTACTTTAAAAGCTCCTTTGCGGTTTTAAGTTTGGCTAGTCCAGCCATAAAATTGAAATTCACTCTGAATTTTTAGTAAATAACGCTGTCAGTCTCCCACCTCACACACCCCTCACCAGAGCTGGACTGGGGGAAAAATTCAGTCCAGGCATTTTTTAATCACAGCGGTCCACTGAAAAGGAGGCGAGGTCATAGGGGTGTATTTTCTCATCACCAATGGCAAGCACGCCCCCTCTCATAGTAAGCATATTGGTTCAATGCTCTTCCAGGGCAGACCAAGCGCAGAGCTCTGCTGAAGAGCTCTAGCATCAGAAAAAGGTTGTGTATTTGTTCTGCATAGATCAAGCATTTTTATTAACAGGCTTGCTCTGTGTTTGCTTGTAAGTTGTCTCTGGTGTCTCCATAAGTGGGATACCAGGAGACAAAAGGGTCAGGAAAGAGTATTGTGCATGTGTTTGGAGTCTGCTTGTGGGATTGCGTGTGTGTAGAGTAAGAGGATTGTGGTGTGATGTTGTGTAAAGAGGTCAGTTTCAGTTGTGTTTGTGGGGTAATGTGTGGCTAGGGGCTGTAGAGAGTGAGAGAGTGTGTATAGGGGTTGTATAGTGTGTTTGTTTAGGGAATGTAGTATGTGTTTGCTTACAAGGAATCTAGTGTGTGCATAGGGGATCCAGAGTTTGTATTACAGGAATGTAGTGTGTTTGAAGGGTATCTAATGTGTGTTTATCCCAGAGCAGGAATAGGAGATCTTGGGTGTATTTGTGTGTATGCAGAATGTATATAGAGATTTAGTGTGTGTAAATGATCCAGAGTTGTGTAAGGGATCTAGTGTGTGCATGGAAGGGAATGTGTGTATTAGGGGTGCTGTGTGTGTGAGAGAGGTGCAATTTGTGTAAGGGGTGGTATGTGTATGTGTGAGGGGTGCTGTGTGTGAGGGGTGTTGTGTGTGAATGTGCTCTGTGTGTAAGGGGTTCAGTGTGCGAGGGTGCGTTTGTGTGTGTGAGGGATGCTGAGTGTGAGGGTGCTGCATGTGAAGGGTGCTGTGTGTGTGAGGAGTGCTTTGTGTAAATATGTTTGGAGGTATTGTGTGTGCGTGTGGGAGATAGATTAATGTAAATATTTATGTTTTTATTTTAATTAAAAAAGCAGATTCAGAGTATATAGGGAACTAGTGTGTGTGTGCAAATGATCCAGAGTTGTGCAAGCGATCTAGTGTGTGTCTGGAATGTAATGTGTGTAGGGGTGCAGTGTGTATGAAGGGTGCAGTACGTTGGGGGAGTGCAGTATGTGTGTGTGTGAGGGGTGCTGTGTGTGCGAGTGTGTTGTGTGTGCCTGTGGGGGCTGTATGTGAGAGATGCTGTGTTTGTTTGAGGCTGCTTTGTGTGAGGGTGCTGTGTGTGTGGCAGGGTGCTGTGTGTGTGTGAGTGTATGTATTTGAAGGTTGCAGTGTGTGAGGGTGCTGTGTGTATGTGAGGGGTGCAGTGTGTAGGGTTGATGTGTTTGTATGTGAGGGTGATGTGTGTGTATGTGAGGGGTGCTGTGTGTGTATGTGAGGGGTGCTGTGTGTGTGTATATCAGGGGTGCAGTGTGTGAAGGTTCTGTGTGTGTATTATTATTATTGGCATTTATTTAGTGCCAACAGATTCCGTAGTGTGTATGTGAATGGTGCAGTGTGTGAGGGGTGCTGTGTGTGTGTGTGTGTGTATGTGAAGAGTCCTCTATATGTGTGTGAGGGTGGTGTGTGTGTGAGGGTGATGTGTGTGTGTGAGGGTTATATGTGTGTGAATATGTTTGGAGGTGTGGTGTGTGGGGGAGGGGGAAATAGATTAATGTAAATATTAAGTATCCCTCCCCCCTTCATACATTTTGCCTTGGAGGGGGGCCGTGCTGCAATCCCTGGTGGTCCTAGTGGTGAGTGAACTCTAGCCTGCGTGGTAACAGCGGCAACGCTCCGATCTCGTGAGAGGAACCAGGCGGAGTTGCTGGCTAGAGCTCCCCAGGTCCTCTCCTGTCTCCCACCCTCTCCAGCTGGCGGCTGCATGTCACTGCCTGTGGGCCAGTGATGGATGGATCTTTGATCTCCCCACCAGCCCATGAAGGCACACAGCAGGATCGGCGCTTATATATCTCTTGATCTCCCCTGTCGGCCTCGGCCCATGGCCATCGTGGCCCACTGGGCATTTGACCGGTATGCCTAATTGCCAGTCCGGGACTGCTCTCACAGAAATAGGCTTTTTATCTGGCATCCTACTTAAGGAGCTGGGCAATCTTAATACATCTTATTTTAGTTCCTACATTATAGGAGGTAACATATCACCTACCGTAAAATACAAGCCTCCAAACAGTTGTTTTTTTTATACTGCTTTTAAAAAAAAATTATTTTAAATAATTTCCACTTACAGATCTTACTTAATGCTGCCTTATATTCCAGATTCAGCCAGTGACATTCAGTAACATATGGCAATGTTTACATTTAGATTTTACTAAGTCTACTATGTGCTTAGTCACTGCTATGCCCCAGTGGTCAGCGTAATTGCATTTACTTTAACGTTGCAACAAAGATGTAATTTGCCTCCAAACTATTACAATGGTTTACAAAACGACTTCTGTGGATACTGATCTCATTTATTGCCTTGTACTTCATAATTGCCCTTTAAAGAAATACCAAGGCCAAAGCAATAATCAGATGGTTTATGCTGATCTGAGAACCAACTACCAACAAAAAAATTGGACTTGGAATTGGAAAAAAAATGAAAAGGTGATTTTCCATATTTTTTATTTTGGTTTAAATGTTGCAAGTGTATGCTCAAATCAATAAAACTTGCTAATTTCTAAGAAACATTCAACATATAACTTAAAAAGAACACGATTTTCATCACTCACTTAACTTAAGTATTGCTTTCATTTACTGCTCATTTTCCCAAATAACTTATAACCAACAAGTAAATGGCAAACGTTTTACATTTCTTTCCAGCTTGTAATAGAGTTATACAATTTACACAGCTTGGAATAGAGTTATACAGTAATACAGTTTATTTAATTCTATAAATACAACATTTTAACACCATATGCTAACTCTCATAACCATGCTTTCTCTGTGCACGAAACACAAATGATAACGTATTGTATCACAGAAGGAAATGACAACTCCCTTCTGCATCAAACACATACAGTTGAGATCTTTTGATATGTATACATGTATACACCTCTCTCAGCCAATGAATGAGCAAGAAATATGCACAGAAATGATATTAGTTCTTGCCAGGCTAAATGACACTGCCAGAGGGGGAATTCCACCTCTGGACTGCCAGAGGGGGAATTCCACCTCTGGCAATAGAGAGGTTAAATGACATAGTGAAGCGCTGCACATATAGTTTTCAAGCACCATGACCTTCAAATCACTAAAGTGGTGGATAACTAGAGCAAATCTTCACTTACCCAAACTCTACTATACTGGCTTGTATTTAGCAAGTCAGTTATCAACGTATGTAATTTTAGTTCACAGTGTATAAACCTATAAGAATTTGAGACTGATAGGGTTATTTATGAAAGGATGAATTGTTGGTAACTTGACGTGAACTTATAATTTTGAATCTACACTAGCCATTTTCATTATTACGGATTATTAGTGATTTGAATTAGTCATGGTGCTTGGATCCTGTATGTGCAGCATTTCACTATTACATTATAGTGTTATATCCCTGTGCTACAGAAGGTGTAAGAGAGAGTTGTTATAGCATCATGCAGGAGACATGTGACAAATGGAGGCACGGAGGGGTCCTCCCCTTAAAACATCGTCCCCTTGCAGTTAGAGAGCGAAATGTCAAAGGTGGAGGATTGGGCTTCAAAAACTTGATCTCAGCACAGAACCGGACTTTACATAGGACACGAGGACATGAGTTTAGACTGGAAGAAAGAAGATTTCGTCTAAGGCAAAGGAGAGGTTTTTTTACTGTAAGAACAATCAGGATGTGGAATTCTCTGCCTGAGGAAGTGGTTTTATCAGAGTCCATACAGATGTTCAAGCGGCTACTAGATGCATACTTGCAAGAACAGAATATTCAAGGATATAATCTTTCAATGTAGGGTAATAACTGCTTGATCCAAGGATAAATCTGACTGCCATTCTGGGGTCAAGAAGGAATTTTTTTCCTAGCTTGTTGCAAAATTGTGCTTCAAACTGGTTTTTTTTGCCTTCTTTTGGACCAACAGCAAAAAACAAATGTGAGGTAGGCTGAACTTGATGGACGCAAGTCTCTTTTCAGCTATGTAACTATTATAAGAATGAAAAGTACATTTTGCTTTTTTTTAAAAAAAATTCTGGTGGTGCAGGACAGTAAGGGTTACGCTGGCAAAAAACTGTTTCATTGAATAGATATATACACATAATATATATATATATATATATATATATATATATAAATAATAGTATGTGAAAAAGCCCACACGTACTAGGACTCTTCTAGTACGTGTGGGCTTTTTCACCTACTATTATTCATTTAATTCTCTTAGCTTTTATGGGGGCTTTCTTTTACTAGTAGAGATTTCCTGCCTGTCTGTTTCTATCTCTTCTCCATCCATTTTTTCCACGCCTCAGGGTCAGTGTATTCTGCCCATTACATATATATATATATATATATATATATATATATATATATATATATACACACAGTTGCAAGAAAAAGTGTGTGAACCCTTTGGAATGATATGGATTTCTGCACAAATTGGTCATAAAATGTGATCTGATCATCATCTAAGTCACAACAATAGACAATCACAGTCTGCTTAAACTAATAATACACAAAGAATGAAATGTTGCCATGTTTTTATTGAACACACAATGTAAACATTCACAGTGCAGGTGGGAAAAGTATGTGAACCCCTAGACCAGTGTTTCCCAACCCAGTCCTCAAGGCACACCTACCAGTCCAGGATTTAGGGATTACCCAGTTGTGTCTAAGGTGTTTTTTTTCTTCTTTGTAAAAACACCTTAGACACAACTGGGTAATCCCTAAATCCTGGACTGGTAGGTGTGCCTTGAGGACTGGGTTGGGAAACACTGCCCTAGACTAATGAGATCTCCAAGAGCTAATTGGAGAGAGATGTCAGCCAACTGGATCAATCAATGAGATGAGATTGGAGGTGTTGGTTACAGCTGCCTTGCCCTATAAAAAACACACACAAGTTCTGGGTTTGCTTTTCACAAGAAGCATTGCCTGATGTGAATGATGCCTCGCACAAAACAGTTCTCAGAAGACCTACGATTAAGAATTGTTGACTTGCATAAAGCTGGAAAGGGTTATAAAAGTATCTCCAAAAGCCTTGCTTTTCATCAGTCCATGGTAAGACAAATTGCCTATAAATGGAGAAAGTTCAGCACTGCTTCTACTCTCCCTAGGAGTGGCCGTCCTGTAAAGATGACTGCAAGAGCACAGCGCAGACTGCTCAATGAGGTGAAGAAGAATCCTAGAGTGTCAGCTAATGACTTACAAAAGTCACTGGCAAATGCTAACATCCCTGTTAGCGAATCTACAATACGTAAAACACTAAACATGAATGGATTTCATGGGAGGATACCACAGAGGAAGCCACTGCTGTCCAAACAAAATATTGCTGCACATTTACAGTTTGCACAAGAGCACCTGGATGTTCCACAGCAGTACTGGCAAAATATTCTGTGGACAGATGAAACCAAAGTTGGAGTTGTTTGGAAGAAACACACAACACTATGTGTGGCGAAAAAAAAGGCACAGCACACCAACATCAAAACCTCATCCCAGCTGTGAAGTATGGTGGTAGTGGCATCATGGTTTGGGGCTGCTTTGCTGCATCAGAGCCTGGACGGATTGCTATCATCGAAGGAAAAATGAATTCCCAAGTTTATCAAGACATTTTGCAGGAGAACTTAAGGCCATCTGTCTACCAGCTGAAGCTCAACAGAAGATGGGTGTTGCAACAGGACAATGACCCAAAGCATAGAAGTAAATCAACAACAGAATGGCTTAAACAGAAGAAAATATGCCTTCTGAAGTGGCCCAGTCAGAGTCCTGACCTCAACCTGATTGAGATGCTGTAGCATGACCTCAAGAAAGCGATTCACACCAGACATCCCAAGAATATTGCTGAACTGCACCAGTTCTGTAAAGAGGAATGGTCAAGAATTACTCTTGACCGTTGTGCACGTCTGGTCTGCAACTACAGGAAACTTTGGTTGAAGTTATTGCTGCCAAAGGAGGTTCAACCAGTTATTAAATCAAAGGGTTCACATACTTTTTCCACCTGCACTGTGAATGTTTACATTGTGTGTTCAATAAAAACATGGCAACATTTAATTATTTGTGTGTTATTAGTTTAAGCAGACTGTGATTGTCTATTGTTGTGACTTAGATGATGATCAGATCACATTTTATGACCAATTTGTGCAGAAATCCATTTCATTCCAAAGGGTTCACATACTTTTTCTTGCAACTGTATATATATATATGTTCAACTATAAGTTACATCTCTAATATTAGGTTCACCCTTATTATATATAATTTTGTTCAGGAGAAAAAGGCTTTTATTTCACATCAAATATTTAAACATGGAACAAAATTTAAAATAAAATAAAAAATCTTTAAAAAGTGTGAGACATTAAGAAATTGTATTTTTTAAGCTCTGCATGACATTTTAATTGTGAATCACACAATACTGTTAGCTTGTACTGCAATAAAGGACACTTAGATCTATGCTCTGCTGTCCCATGGGTATACGTTTTATGGTGTTTTGGAAAAGTTAAAGACTTTTTTTAGACGTAGAAATTTGCTAGATTGGTTTGCTGGGCCTATGTTGCCATTGCAGCCAAGGAATGAAAATGACCTCCATCATGGCATACCATTTACAAAAAAATAGACAATGCAGGGTATTTAAAATGAGGTTAGTCCAGTCTTCTTTAAGTAGCCACTTAGTCACAAACCCTGGCCAAACTTTCTGTTTATATTTGTTGTATATGCTTTAAAACACTCGTATTTGATGTCTCACGTGTACAACAGTACCCACCATGTACAGGTTTTATGGGGTTTTGAAAAGTTACAGAGTCAAATATACGTCTTGCACATTCTTTTTTTACACACAGAAACTTGCCAGGTTGGTCAGGTTGCCTTTGACACCGTATGGCAAACCAGGAAAAAGGCCCCCATCATGGCATACCATTTGCAAAAATAGACAACTCAGGGTATTCTAAATGGCCAGTCTTTTTTTAATAGCATTTTCAGTTTAAATACTAAACTTTCATCAGTATCATAAACTTTTTTGATCCTGATGAAAAGTTTAGTATTTAAACTGAAACGCCGATTTTTTATTTTTGTATGATTTAAACAAAAGCTACGTTTTATATTTCTACTACTTTAAAAAGTCCTTGGAGTTATAGCATAGAAAATATGCTTTTGTATAATTGTGGATGAGAACCAGGCATTGAACTATAATTCTACTTCAGAGTGCAGGTTTCTATGGACTTTTGTATCTATCTATTTTGTATCTGCAGTCCACTGTAGGCAGTTTTTCAAACTGCAAAGCCGGCCACGTGATTACGCTATCATCACTATCACATGACCCAGAAGAATTGGCTGCACGGGGGCTGCCTGGGTTGTCAATGTCTCTAATTAGCATATGTGGGAAAGACGAGTATGTATGACCCGAGTGGGCGTCGCCCTGCAGAGTTAAAGCCCACATTTTGTAGAATGGCATAGCACGCCTGCCATCTTTAAGGCGTTAACTATACTCTAAATTATAGAAACCTTAAACCTGAATTGCAAAATTCCACAAAAATAGCAGATTTAGAAAATTGTTAAACTCAATTAAAGTCACAATGTGACTATTCTTGAATTTTGCCATTAAATTTTCACTTCAATACAATTCAAAGCTTAGTGAATAAAGGGTTTAATATGAAATAAAAAAAACAAAAAAAAACTATAAAATTCAAGACAAATGCATAACTCAACTAATAGTAGTAGTGAGGGAAAGCTAGCACCAGTGATCATAGGTAATCCAAAATTATAGATACATCTTTTGTGCTATTAATTGAAATAGAAGGAAAATTAGACAAAACAGCCTATAATATTTCTCTCTTAAGGCATGATATTCAATGCACTGCTAGTTGTTTGTTTGGGTTTTTTTTTACATTCTTTATTTTAAATGTGCAGAGATGTATACACTAATTGACATTAACATTTCATATTAAGCAAAACAAGCAACTTCAGGTTGATAATTAGAACATAGAATGTCAGGAGTAACTGCACTTTTTATTTTCATGAATATTAACCCCTTAAGGACACAACTTCTGGAATAAAAGAGAATCATGACGGAATATTTCCGTCATGTGTCCTTAAGGGGTTACAGTAGCAGTCGTCATGCAAGAGAACAGTAGTGTAACAAAGATAAGTCATAGATATTTTACATAAGATAACACCTAAAAGGCTCCCCAGGTGGAGACAAGACATCAGGCACCACTGGCATGATATGAGTAAAATAACACTATGATGCAGCAATAATCCAACCAACAGGAGTCTCCATCAAGTCAGCAGATGCCTCTCTGTGGCATGTTGTATTTACGAGTCTGTGATGCAGTTGTGGGACACAGGGGCCCAGGCAGAGGTCGCAGGAGTATCAGAGTGATGCACAGAGTTTTATCCCCATTTAGCGTATTATTATAGTTGTAATTTTTAGTTGCATATAATCCAGTTGATCAGTTGACAACGGTTGACAAAACTTTAACAATGACTCACAAAACGTAAATCATACCTTTAAAACAGCATACAAAATTACCTTTTGGTCAAACAATAAACAATTCATATTGTATGTATCACTTCCATTAGTTAATGTCCAATGACGTCCTGTACTATTTTAATTTATTAACCCATACTAAAAAGTATGTTTGCAATCATCACACTACTTTGTATTTTCTAAAAAAATAATAATTGGAATATAGATAATTTCAGGTATGGGATTAATATTATCTATATTAGAACCATAAATAGTATTGGACCTTCCAGGTCATCTTAATCTGAAGATATGAAATTAGCTGATATGCGTAACTAGTTTAAGCTATACCAATATTTCTATTTCAACATGTTTCAGCTTGCATGAGAGAACTGGTATAAGTAGAAATCAGCAACAAACATTAAAATATGTGCTGTAGAGGTTATGGTACCAGAGCCCAGCAGACTGGAGGAGTCATTATAAGATGCATCTTCAATGGTGGAAACCAGTTGAAGCATTCATTGTGTTGAGCTATTTCAATTGCTTATGTTTGATTTGTTTATTGCAAACATCTGAAAGTCTGTACATTTTGACAATAAACCTGATTTTTGCTGGGGTATGAATAATTTTTATTACAAATATATATATATATATATATATATATATATATATATATATATATATATATATATATAGTTAATACAATGTTAAACAAAAATCTGCACACCAGTCAAGCCATAAGACTTGCTTTTCCCAATGGCTTTGCATCTTTTCCTAAGCTGTGTTTCAAAACTGTTGTATACAGCAAACACAGACTCAAAGGAATCCATGTTTAAAATGCAATGACAATATTTGAATATATAATTATAAGAAAAGCTCAACTGAAAGTGGGTGAGAAGTAATGTGGTATAAAAAGTACTTGTTATTCTATATATATATATATATATATATATATATATATATATATATATATATATATAAGAACTAGACAAAAAAGACAAATATAGATTATCCAGTAAACAATGTTAAAAAAGGCTAAATTTATTATCTAAAGCAGGCAAAATCCCTATCATCATTCATGCCATTTGGATACAGTGTATCTAACCTGTATATCCAATACCCTTTGGCTTAAGAGTTTAAACCTATTACCTTCTCTGGATGAGACTTAATTTCTCCTGCTCTTGGTCAGTATACATTTTTGATGGGTGTATGTAATAAGCACTTTATTACTATTGTGGTACTGGTACTATTGATTTGGTATGCACTATGCTGTGCACTTTTTTTCTGTCAAAGTTACTTGATGTATTTCTTCAATGCATGAATAAACATTTTTTATGTGCAAATATTGGTGTGCCTTGGGTTTATTACTATATCTATTAAAATGGAATGAGGCAAAAATGTGATTCTTTGTTGACATAGTTTGCATATGCACACCCATATGCTCCTTTATAAAAATACATGAATAAAATACAATATCTATAAAATGTAAAATATGAAGGGGATCTTATTTATTTTCAATTTTAACACTTTAGCGCCACATGGTCTTAATTTAGATTTTGAACTTTGTCACTTTTTATCTTGAAATTAAATATTTTTAAATTGTATATTTTGACATTATATCTTTAAATCCAATTGGGTAAAATTCTTAATATTAAATTTTAAAAAGTTCCCCATCATATTTTACATTTTATAGATATTGTATTTTATTCATATATTTTTATAAAGGAGCCTTCATCTCATCCCTCCTCCATGTTTTACAATGATAATGCCAATAAAATCACTGTATGGTGATGTGGTAATTTTTATTGTTTTGCACTGATTCAAAAAGCACCTTAAAAGAAGAGCACTAAGCACTTTAAATTGTCTTGTTGTGAAAAAGTTGATGTAAAATGTTTTTTGTTTTATAATATATCCCTGTTGATTCAGAATGCTCACATTTCCTTTAATAATTTTTTTTCAGCAAAAATGAGAATCTATAAACGCCAGGACTCTTTGCAAGGCTCACACATGCACCACGGGACGAAAAGACACTTCCGGGTCATGTGATCGGCATAAGAACGGAACGTGCATTTCACCTGACATAACGTGCGTTCCACTTAAGGCACTTCCGGGTCCACGGATGCCGGTGTTCTATCAAATTCCCCTACCTCGTGAAAATCCCCTACCCTTATCACATCCGGTGAGGGAAATCAGCTGGATCCTGTGCTGCACATGCGTGCTAGCACTCCTGCTACTCCTCCACAGCAAGGTCCTGGAAGGTAAGTAAAACTAGTTTTACACTTTCATTATAGTTAGTGCATTCACTAGGCTTAGGCACACGGGACATTTAGGGTTAAGTGAGGGTTCAAATTAGGGTTAGGTAAGTGATTCTAACCTCTCTCACACTATTCTTACCCTAACCCTTGGGGTAAGGGTTAAAATAAAGTGTGAGAAATCACTATTTAGTGATATTCGCCTAATGTGAAATATCACTAAATATGAACAAGTCCCTAATCCTAACCCTAATTTGAACCCTAACATTAACCCTAAATGTCCCATGTCCTAAGCTTAGTGAATGCACTAACTATAATGAAAGTGTAAAACCAGGACATTGCTGTAGAGGAGTAGCAGGAGTGCTAGCACGCATGTGCAGCACAGGATCCAGCTGATTTCCCTCACCGGAAGTGACGAGGGTAGGGGATTTTCACAGGTAGGGGAATTTGATAGAACACCGGCAATCTAAAAATTAAAGCAGTATATAAGATGGAAAGAACGTTACACAGACTACACAGCCAACTGAGGAAGCCAGTTTATGGCAAAATGCGTTTTGGACTTTGGACTTATTTTGGATTTTATACTATACAAGTATCTCAAGTTCTCAATAAATTTGTATCTTTCTACTACTGGAGTTTCCTGTCCATTCCTGCACAAGAATCTGAAGGTGAAGGAGACCAGAAGGAGATACAAGGGGGTGGTGGATCTCCCCTGACAGATCCCAGAGTGCTACACACTAGAGCCAGGTGATCAGTTGGCGCTACAGCTTGTGAGTTGTGAATTGTCATTTCCCTATTTACATTTTATTGTACAGACTATCTGCACTATGTATATGTTATGTATCATTTACAGATTCCTGTAAAAAATGCAATCAAGTACACTCAGTGTATAACCAGGTACTCTAAAGCTCCACTTATATCTTTTTGAATATAGTTGTATGTGGTTGTGAGGGTTAAGGAGATCCTTCACATAAGTGTTGAGCTTAACTCACTTCATTGTTAAAGTGTGCACACGTTGGTATATTTATATTCAATATATGGCATATTTTGAATGGTTTTATGACAGCAGTGGTAACATCACTGTCTTAGAACTGGGAAACCTAGTTTCAAATCCCAATCAGACCACCTCACCAGTAAGTACCTGTGGGCAAGAAACCTAACAATATATGTCTGCCTACCTCAAAATATAATGAATTATTTTTGAGCAGGACCTTCTTCACCTCTAAATGTCCCATTTTAATTTCTATATAACTCATGGTAATGATAACAAAAAACTATATATACTAAACACACTACCGATAACACAACCAAAAAGGTTTTTCAGGTCACTGCAACAGGCCTTCACTAGCTTTATCTGGGCAAAGAAAAGGCCACGCTTAGTGTACCAAACCTTACTAAAACCCAAATCCAGAGGAGGGATAGGCCTCCCAAATATACTACATTACCAATATGCGGTGGACCTTAGTAGAATATTAGATTGGGTCGGGGGACTGAATCCAAATTATGGATACAAATAGAACATTCCCACGTACAAACATCAATAAAAGGAATACCATGGCTACATGCAATGACGTCATGTTATTTTGTACCTAACCACTCATTTCCACAACCTTACGAATCTGGAAAAAATTTGCACCACTGCCAAATGTGGCCCCAGGGATATCCCCACACTTCCCTATAACCAAAAACTCACTTTTCCATGCAGGAGATTGAGGCTTCACACTACCACCAATTCATGACCCCACCCAGACCAAAACACCACCAGTAGGAGTATGGTTGTTCGAACCATGGCTTAAACCTATTTCTCAGTTGACCACATGAGATCCTCCATCATTCACTCAAAGTTTTCAATACCACCAAATAAAAAACTTAATTAACACCCTTTCTATCCCAGAGACAGGTATCAGAGCGGAAACTAAATACGAACAAATATGCTCACAAAAGACAACACCTACCAAAACATTATCTTCCTGCTACACTGTGTAACAAATCGCCAAGCAATCGACATTGCCTCGGTATATGAGACAAACAAACACCTAACTAACCCCCTGCCTGAACAGACATGGCTCGAGGTGTTTCAGAGGACATTTCACTCTCATATAAATATACCCTTACAAGAAGCAAACCTTAAATTCTCACTAGGTGGTATATCACACCACAAAACCTATATAGCATAGATAGCTCGATATCTCCACTATGCTGGCGATGTCACAAAGAAAAGGGGAGCCTTCAGCAAATATGGTGAGAATGCTCCATAGTACAAAAATACTGGAGAGACATAAAGGAAATGATTAAGAGGGTACTGGACCTATCCCTGACCTTCAATGTCCAGACGATGCTATTACAGGTACCTGAGCCTACCTCATCCCAGCACAAATGCAAATACAAAAACGCTCTCCTCTATTTAATGCTCACGACGGCGAAAACAGAAGTGGCGGCAAATTGGAAAAAGATTAATCAACCATAGAAGACAAGATTTGGTAACCATGGAAAAACTATGATGTCAAAGCTAGAAAAAGGGGTTCCATGAGAACATCAAACGCACCTGGGAGGGAAACATGGGGCAAACCAATCACACAACAGGAAAACCTAGGTGTGAAGGGGGAGGCGACGTCCGAAAATGGATATCCAAGCTGATTTAAACAAACTAATGGAAAAACTAAGGGGACAGTGCAAAAGTACAGGAAGAGCATGCCAACAGAGGGTCTTCTGGACTTAACATACACCAACCACACAATAGAAGAGTAGTGTGGATAGGGATAATAATGTCATACATATTTGCTGTACCAATTTTTTGTTTGCATTATGTTCTCTTGTACTTTGCATTATGTTCTAATTTATGTTATAGTTTATGTTACACAATTGGTATTATGTTATATTACGACATCAACTACCAATGGAGGTAGCACCGATGGAAGCAAATAAAACACATACACGAAGGACCAATGTTGTTAGATAAAGGCCCAGGAAATATGGTTACCATACCTGATAAGCGGACACAATGTGTATCTACCGTGTAATAGAAACAAGAATGAAAACAAGAATGAAAACATGTACTGTAAATTGTGATGTCGATCAGTGGTGCAAACATAAAATAAAATAAGAATTTATAAATAAAAAATAAAATAAAAATAACAAAAGTATTATTTTTTTTGGGGGGGGGGACTGGGGGGAACATGGCAATAGATTGGTGCTAAAATGTTTTTATTGCTGACTCTTCTTTACTGCTTGTGCCTGTCATTATTAGTTTTTAGTGAATTACTTATTGTTAAATAATTGGATAAATGCACTGCAAAAAAATATTAATACTATATATATATATATATATATATATATATGTTAGAAATAATAGTAGGGTGAAGAATCAATATAAATATCAATGTAAAGAAACAATTTTTTTTTAGGTCCAAGCAGGCTCGGGCTGGCCACCAATGGGCTGCGATAGCCATTGGTCGAGATCTGCTGATCCCCCCTGCCTGCCCATAATGATGCTGCTGGCTCATGCAGGGCCAGCGCTATCCAAGTACCTGCCCTACTGTGTGCCATAACTGGCACTTAAATCTGGCAGATAAAGGGGGAGAGAGGAGGACCTAGGGGCTATAGCCTACTGCTCTGCCAGGTCCTGTAGGTTCTCATAGCAAGACTCCAACAGAAATCTCAAGAGAGTAAACTCTGGCCCAAGTAGCTGCAGGCTAGAGTTCATTCACCATTGGACCATGAGAGCTTCACCATCGGACCACCAGGGCTTGCAATATCCCCCCTCCCGGGCCAAAGGTAAGAAGGAAGGGGGGCTGTAAAGTTTATTTTTAATTAAAAAATAAATTTGCTTTGCTACCATCTGCACCCCTCACACACACACATACACACATTGTACCCTCACACACACTGTACCCATACACACTAGATCCCTTATACACACTCTACCACTTACAAACACTCTACAACATTCTACCACTTACAAATACTCTACACATTCTGGATCCTCTACACATACACAGTAGATCTTCTACAAACACAACAGAACCCCTATAGACACACCCTGCACCACCTTCACATACACACATTTCTGGCATACACACTCTGGATCCCCTGAACTTAACACGCACTACGTTCACTGAACACACACTACATCACCTATCGACACATACACTATAGCCCCTATGCACACACTCACTACAACCATATAAACACTACGCGCCCTATGCACACACGCACTCTCTAACTCTCTACAATCACTTGCAACACATTTTACATCACAAACACAAAATCAACAGTGAAACCAAACTATTTACAAAAAACAACAAACTACAATCAGCTCTCTACACATGCAATCCTGGTAGCAGCCTACAAAACCATGCACAATACACTTTCCTGAACCTTTTGTCCTTTGATATACCACTTATGGAGACACCAGAGACAAGTCACCAGCAAACACAACGCAAGCATGTCATTAAATTTGCTTGTGCTGAACATGTGAGAGATCTTTAGTAGGACTCTGCACATGGTATGTCCTGCTAGAGCACTGAACCTACATGCTCACTTTGAGAGAAGGCATGCTTGTCACTGGTGTTGACAAACCACCTCCCTCTCTGGCCCCGCCACAGTCTGGCCCTGGATCCAAGCAGTAAGAATTTAGAATGTTAGCCTAGTTTACTCTTTTTTTATCCATCTATCTCTCTGTAGCACAAAAACACTGATCCATTAATATATTGAGATATATTTGTTCATGCTGGACAAATTAGGAGACACTAGAACCACCAAAGTGGATATTGTTAAAAAAAAATACATAGCATGAGCTCTTTCAACCATCCATCATAGTATATTCAGCACTAACTGATTTCATGGATTCCTGTGTTTGTAGATTGATAGTGCCTGGCTTTTATAACAGATATACAAGCATTCAATCTTGAGCTTCCAATAACAATACCAATGACCCAGAAGCAGCATGGAAGTGACTCACTGGTTAAAGCTCTAACCTTGCACGCCAAGCCTAGATGGAACTGCCATAAGATAAGAGGGGATATGTAATATGTTATTTGTACATACAGTATCTCACAAACGTGAGTACACCCCTCACATTATTGTAAATATTTTATTACATCTTTTCATGTGACAACACTGAAGAAATTACAACTTTACATTTTAGCAGAGTGTAAGTGTACAGCCTGTATAACAGTATAAATTTGCTGTCCACTCAAAATACCTCAACACACACACACAATGAAGGGATACTCTAAGCACCATAGCTACTTAATTGTTTTGAAGTTGTCATGGTGCTTGGAGCCTGTATGTGCAGTGTTTTGCTGTATTTAGTCATGTCAACCATTAATGTCTAAACCATTGGCAACAAAAGTGAGTACACCCCTAAGTGAATATGTACAAATTGAGCCCAATTAGCCATTTTCCCTCACAGGTATCATGTGACTCATTAGTGTTACAAGGTCTTAGGTGTGAATGGGGAGCAGGTGTTTTAAATTTGGTGTGATCGCTCTCACACTCTCTCATACTGGTCACTGGAAGTTCAACATGGCACCTCACGGCAAAGAACTCCCTAAGGATCTGAAAATAAGAATTGTTGCTTTACATAAAGATGACCTAGGCTATAAAAAGATTGCCAACACCATGAAACTGAGCTGCAGCATGGTGGGCAAGACCATACATGAGCACATGCTCAGCGTCATATCCAGAGCTTATCTTTGGATAATAGACATATGAGTGCTGCCAGCATTGCTGCAGAAGTTTAAGAGATGGGGGGTCAGCCTGTCAGTGTTCACACCATACGTGGCACACTGCATCAAATTAGTCGGCATGGCTGTTGTCCCAGAAGGAAGCCTCTTCTAAAGATGATGCACAAGAAAGCCTGCAGTTTGCTGAAGACAAGCAGACTAAGGACATAGATTACTGTAACCATGTCCTGTGGTCAGATGAAACCAAGATAAACTTATTTGGTTCAGATGGTGCCAAGCGTGTGTGGTGGCAACCAGGTGAGGAGTACAAAGACTTGCCTACAGTCAAGCTTGGTGGTGGGAGTGTCATAGTCTGGGCATAAGTGCTGCCGGCACTAGGGAGCTACAGTTCATTGAGGGAACCATGAATGTCAACATGTACTGTTACATACTGAAGAAGAGCATGATCCCCTCCCTTCAGAGACTGGGCCGCAGGGCAGTATTCCAACATGATAACAACCCCAAATACACCTCCAAGACAACCACAGCCTTGCTAAAGAGGCTGAAGGTAAAGGTGATGGACTGGCCAAGCATGTCTCCATACCTAAACCCTATTGAGCATCTGTGGGGCATCCTCAAACGGAAGGTGGGGGAGCGCAACATCCACCAGCTCTGTGATGTCATCATAGAGGAGTGGAAGAGGACTCCAGTGACAACCTGTGAAGCTCTGGTGAACTCCATGCCCATGAGGGTTAAGGCAGTGCTGGAAAATAATGGTAGTCACACAAAATATTGACACTTTGGGCCCAATTTGGACATTTCCACTTAGGGGTGTACTCACTTTTGTTGCCAACGGTTTAGACATTAATGGCTGTGTGTTGAGTTATTTTGGGGAGACAGCAAATTTACACTGTTATACAGGCTGTACACTTACTACTTTACATTGCAGCAGAGGGTCATTTCTTCAGTGATGTCACATGAAAAGATATAAGAAAATATTTACAAAAATGTGAGGGGTGTACTCACTTTTGTGAGATACTGTATATCCAACCTCCTATCAAACCTCTCAAACCTCCAAAAAAGCAGTATCACTTCTTACCTGATTTCTTTGTGCTATCTTCTGTCCTTTTTTCCAGCGAAGTATAGGTTTTAGGGCAGGTAACTCTTTTTCCTCATTCCCAACAATATGTTCCTCAAGACTGTAGGATGTTTCAAAAACAATAGGAGATATCACATCTTTTACTCTCCGCTAGAAAACAAAAAATATCAAAACAGTTATGTCAATTTTACAGTGAAAAGAACACTCAATCATTATTTTCAACATAACAAGAGGAAAGAGAATGTAAAGAAAACTCATGGAGGGGAGATAACACATTATTACAGAGCATAGTGACTGATATATCTTCACTGGACTCTAAAAATACTTTCAGATTTACAACTGAAAAACCACCCATGGTTTGGCTAGTCCATCAGGCCTTTCTTGTCATGTTCCCTATCCCTGTTCAAAAAGAGCAACTTAGATTCAGCATGACAGTCTACTTTGTGTGAATACCTACCTTCTAAACCAATAGAAGAAACTAGTAATGACAATCAGAAGAATAATTTGTGGGGCCATTGTCAATTAGGCAAACCAGGATTATTATATATCCTTTTTTTTGTAGGACCTCCGTGTCCACACAAACAAATACGTGATTAGCAACACACACATGACAAACCATCTACAAATAATTAAATACACATTTAATCAATGCATAATTTGCCACACACCAATCTAATTTACCACAAACCCACAGAAACCAAAATTTAATGTGACCACACATTTGCACATATACATAGACAAACTGTTCCACACAGATGTATCCTGGCATGCATGAGCAGAAATTGATGCTAACATGTAAGCAGACACAGGCACCTCATGCTGGTACACTCTAAAAATTACACAGCCATAAACACACAGACATCCATAGACACATGGACTAGTTAATACCTGCAAGTTGCCTCAAGGTGTGTTGATGCTCATATCATCCCACCAAACAGGCACCCCTGATCACATTTTTGAAGAACGCAAACATATACATACGCACATAATAAAATTCACCTCCTATAGTCAAGCTTTGATTAGGGGAAAACTGTTTTTATTAATGTATAGGAGTGTAGTGTATAGGAATAACAGTATAAGTATACAGCAGTGTCTGTATTCCAACTATTGCTCTCCTTTTAGGTCCCTACAATTTGTACAGCATGGATGAGAACAATGGCTGATGCATACATGATAAAGGGGAGGTTCATATAAAATATATCATTACTCATGTCCAGCCTGCAGACTCTGGTTTAGATTAGCATTTGCTTGCTCTAGCAGTAAATAGTCAATTTAATGATTTTAAAATACATTTAATACAGTAAGCTAAGCTTTTCTCTTACGTGTGTGTAATGAAATGGTTGTTTTATAGGAAATTTGGTACAAAACAAAGACATCTAGGATGTAAATGTTCATCAGTGACAGTGAAAAGTACACTTTTCTCTATGTTTAAAAGAAGGAACATTCCCTGACAAAATGCCATCCTCTGAAAAATTCCATCTGTCTATTGTCCACACTGCAAGTCCTTAGCACTTAATCATGGCTAGGCTAAAAGGAGGAAGGGAGAGAAAGAGAAAGAGGGAGACAGAAACAGTAAGGCTGGTCTAGCATTAAGTAATTTTAAATGTTACTATAAATGAAACAAAAATATTTTTTTTTTCCCGTTACTGCTTCCAATCACTTTCTTTGGCTACAGTCAAGAATGAACCATTGAAGACTCTATGTAAAATTTTTATGACACAACTATAAATCAGGAAAGTCATTGAGCCAGGCACTGTTCATTTTGAACACCTTTTTTCCAGTGTAATACATGAAAAAAATAAAAACATACCTCCCTTTTTTTCCACAGGACACATAGAATTAAAAGCTTAAAGGACCACTATAGGCACCCAGACTACTTCAGCTCAATGAAGTGGTCTGGGTGCCAGGTCCATCTAGGGTTAACCCTGCCTGCTGTAAACATAGTAGTTTCAGAGAAACTGCTATGTTTACTTTAGGGTTAATCCAGCATCTAGTGGCTGTCTCATTGACAGCCGCTAGAGGCGCTGCCGCGCTTCTCACTGTGATTTTCACAGTAAGAAGACGCCAGCGTCCATAGGAAAGCATTGAGAATGTTTTCCTATGGACTGGCTGAATGCATGCGCGGCTCTTGCCGCGCATGCGCATTCAGCCGATGACATCAGAAGAAGGAGGAGAGTCCCCAGCGCGGAGGGAGCCCGGCGCTGGAGAAAGGTGAGTGTGTAACCCCCTTCCTCCAACTTCAGCCCGGCGTGAGTGGGACCGGGCACTATAGTGCCAGGAAAACGAGTTTGTTTTCCTGGCACTATAGTGGTCCTTTAAGTTCTAATTATAACTCTTCATGTTTTAATTCACATGCAAATGACTTAATGGCAATTCAAGGCTCATTACCTTTATCATAAGAGATAAAACTTTAAGGGATACTCGAAGCACCATAACTACTTAATTGATTTGAAGTTGGCATGATGCTTGGAGACTGTATGTGCAGTGTTTTGCTGTCTTTATTCATGTCAACCTGTACTTGCATGGAAGCATGGTTGGGTGCAAAACCTTAAAGCCAGATATTTGACATTACTATCACAGAGCAGGGTCAGCTTTAATATAGAGTATTATACATCTAGAGTTTTGTTTTTAGAAAGTGCCTGAACATGTAGGAGAACCAAAAGTACTTATGCAATTTACTGCTCAACTCTTACTGCTTGGCCAAGTATGTATCTTGTATTTATTACCATAAGGTAACAGGCTGTTAAAGGAACACTAAAGTCACCAAAAAAAATGGTTTCATTTTCAATCAGATGTTACTTACTTTAAAAGTTTTTATCTCCTGCTTGGTGAATTGGATTTTAATTACATTAACAGAGCAGGGGTAAGAAATTCTAGCCTAAAGATTATTTGCAATAAAGGAAGTATAAAAATTAGATGGCGCTTTACAGGAAGAGCTTACGAAGGCTGTGTAAGTCACATGCAGGGACATGTGGCTGGGGCTGCATAAAAAATTGATTTAACTTGTAAATGGCAGAGAATTGGGCAGCGAGACTGCAGGTACCTGATCTATACCAGGGTTCCTCAAACTTTTTAAACAGGGGGCCAGTTCAGTGTCACTCTTACACTGTTGGGGGCCGAACTATAGTTTGATTTTTTTTTTTTTTTTAACAAATTCCTATACATACTGAAACAGACACAGACATATACAGACACATACTAACATACATAAAACCCATGTATAAAGACATACATACACACACATACTGACAGACATTCATAAACACTGACATACATACACATACTGACATACAGACATACACACCGACATATATATATATATATATATATATATATATATATATATACACATATACACACACACACACACACACACACAGACATACATATTGACATACATACACACTGAAATACATACATACACACTGAAATACATACATACACACTGAAATACATACACATACAGATACTTACATACTGAGATACATACACATACAGATACATACATAATGAGATACATACACACATATACATACATACAAACACATACATACAGACACACACACACACACACACACATAATGACATACATACATACAGATAGATAAATACATATACATACACACATTCATACCGATACACACACACACACACAGACAAACATAATGATATACATACGTACTGAAATACATACACAGACACGTACTGACATACATACAGACACATACTGACATACATACATACAGAAACATACACATCCTGACAGACATACATACAGATACATAGAAACACACAGACAGACACATACTGGCATACATACAGACACAGGGCCGGCGCTACCTGTAAGGCGGACTAGGCAGCCGCCTAGGGCGCCCCTTGGGAGGGGGCGCCGCCAGGAGCGCCGGCCCCGCTCATGCTGCAGCCGCCCGAGCGCTCTGTACAGAGCCTCAGGCGGCTGCAGCTTTGCCCGGGCGGTGCGTCCATGAGGGCGGACCGCACCGCCCGGGCGCAGCATGGGGAGAGGCTGACAGGAGGGAAGCGCTCAGCGCTCCCACCTGTCAGCTCCCTCTCTGTAGCGTGGCCGAGCCCTCTATTGGTCCGACCGGTACAGAGAGCAGCTGTCTCCTGTACCCGGCCGGACTAACAGGAAGTGAACACTGAGTGTTCACTTCCTGTTAGTCTGGCCGGGTACAGGAAACAACAGCTCCCTGTACCGGTCGGACTATACTGGGCTCGGCCACACTACCACACAGGTAGGGGAGGGAGGGGGAGGAAAGAGGGAGAAGAAAAAAAAAAGAG